ACACAAACATTTATGTGCTTTAAAGGTTCTTGTCTATCCATCTGTTGAAAATCCAAATGATAATAAACTGGTTGTCCTTTTGCTATAGTGACCCAGTGCTCTGCTTTCTAGTGTGAGAGAACAGCTGCTGGTGGCCAGTTTTCTTTTCTTGACTCCATTCTAATTTCTATTTCTTCTTATGAAGACTTCTTATGAGGAAGTTTGAAAGCATTTTTGTTTTTTTGCAATTCAGTTTCTAAGAGCCTGTTGTGTCACAGCAGATAGGAGAAATGTTAAAAGTCATTGTCTTGGCAAGTGAGGCTTTAGTAGCTGTTAAGTTCAGAAGGCTCACTACTGCGTGCATAATTAAAGCACATTAAGTTTCAGTTAGTGATTCGGTTATCAAGCATTATAATTTGTGGTCTTTTCTGAATGACATTTAGACAGCTCGTGGATGCTTTGAGAGTGTACAGTGATCCTGCACAAGCAGCTGCAATAGTTAATTACAGTGGTTGTTTAAAAAACTTGCACCTGTTTCTAGTTTGATTCTAATTATTAGGTCTATTTATGGTTCTTGCTGGCAAAAATAGTCTAGTCACAGAGTCTTTTAATAATAATGCTTGTTTTAAAGTAGCTACTGCTGTAGTTTCATGGTACTTGAACCTCTGTCTTGACACTTTAGAATAAGCTGTTGGGGTGACTAGAAGGAAGCAGCAGCTTTCTGTTAAGTAAGGTTTTTGAAGATTTACTCAAAATACTCTATATTTTAAGAGTTTGCTTATGTTGCCTAGAAGCTGGGGGGGTGGGGTGGGTAGTTGGATAGGGAAGCTGTTTGACACATTTTGGTATATGTGTTTATGCTGGGATTCTTTCCAATCTTATATTTTTAGATTGATCCTTTCTGAGGTTTCTTTTCTTTAACTCTGAGTATTTGAATGTAGTGCTATGTACACGCATTAAACCATTGCTGACTCTTTCTTATGCTGGATGGGGAAGTTGTTGGTGTTTGGGTGTGACTTGGTGGGGGGGGCTATCAGCTGCTCACACATTTCCAATGTTCTCATTCTCTTAACTTTATTCTGTATTTTCACTTAGTTCTTGTTGCTTAAGAACTCAGGAGAAACATGTGGTATTGGTATTTAGGGGTGTGATTTTTCTTCCGTTAGGGTCATATACCTGATTATATTTGGTAAAATGTCTTCAGCTGGAACGTAGAATATGACATTTCTTGTAGCCCATGCTGTCCATCATTGGTAATTGCTTAGAGAATATCTGTCTGCAGAAGAAGCTCTTGTAGTATCTCCTGTAAACTCCCTCAAATACCTGTTGACCTTTCTCTTCATCTTACTGTTTTCTTATGTTTGTCTCAAAATGTCACTTCCTGGAAGACTTGGAGCTGATCATACAGTTAGCGCTAGAATTTTTCATCTCTATTGAGTCTCTGTGTATTTTCTTCAAACACTTAGGTATTCTGCTGAGTGACTGAAAGAAAGTAGACTGTCGTTCAAACCTCCTTAATAACTCTAATTGGATTATAGTGCTGTAGAAATCAACAGCTTTTGTATGTTTATATAGTGGTTCCCACAGTGTAAACAGACGTGAGTTCAAAACTTGTTTTCCAATTTATGGCTGTTTCATGCAGTTTGAATCTAGAAATAGATGAAGTTGGTAGAGTGATGGAGCTTTTATTGTTACTGTTGTATGCAGCACTTGAGACTGAAAATTTAAAGGAAAGGTAAAGGCAAAATCTTCATGGCACTTGATCTTGATGGTGGAAAATAGTGAAGGTGCACAAAGCACATCACCAGTGACTCATTTTAGTGAGTCAGACTCACTATAACTACTCAAACGTCATTAATCTTTTCACACGGGGGATCATATTTGGGGATGTGCATGTTAACCGTGGGTTTTACCAAAAACATTTCTATTTAGGAATAAAGCACACTGATTGTAAAGCATCCTCTTCAAATTAGGTTAATGCGACTATACCTTGAACATCTTTTTATTAAGGTCTGAGATACATTGTTACCCTGTTTTTCTGAAAAATTCAGGTTTTTCAGTGATGGTTGAACCTTTGCAAAAAGAATTTCAGTATCCATTAGCAAAATGTTAGTAGATCTAGTCAGAAGGTAAAGACTGTCACTTGCCTCCAGAAACTGAGTTTTGAAAATGAGAAACGTACTTCCAAAATACATTATCCCCACATTGAAGTATTTTGATTCTTAAATGTTCAGTAGCACTTCCTATTTCTCATTCTCTGTAAGCCATCTCTTTGGCTCCTGTACAGCATGCTGTCTCTTGGTGAGAACATGACTGTGGGGAATGATGTCTTGTTCTGGCAACCTCGTGCTTGTTCTCTCTAGCTGCATTTTATGCAGTCCTCTGCTAGCCCTGGAAAAGCTTTCCAGACTACAGATCTACAGTTTTACGTCTTTCAGTTGATAGAAATTTTCAGCTGCTTTTGTTACTGAATTGAGCACATTGCTGCCACGATAGAATGTGAGTAACTTTTACAGGAATACAAGAAAGTTATTTCCCCCCGTAAATGGGTCATAGTAGAAATAAAAATTATTGTAAATGGTATTACCTGTATTTTCTCACTTTAGGCTAGTCTTTTGCCACTTTGAAAGCTGTTTCTTTGCTCTACAGTTGAGGGAAAGAATGACTGTTACTGTTCAACAGTGTTAATGAGCTTGGATTTGATAGTTTAAGGAGCTCAGTCCTTCACTTCTTATTGTTTGGGAGAAATATGGATGTGACGTGAGTCATATTGAGAAAAGTGGCTGAAGAACTTCAGTTTGAACGCCTTTCAGTGAGTGCATCTGTTAAAACATTGCATTGTATTTCTGGTGCTGAAATATTGAAAAGTAATAATGCTACTATATTTTTTTTTAAAAATGCAAACCTAATAGCACTTAAGAAAAACATAAGGGCTAATAAAACACTCTTTGTGTAACAATTCATTTTGCTGAGATAACTTATGTTATGGTATAAGATAACTTATACCATGGTTTTGCCCCTGCATGCTATGCACATTGGCCTGTAAACTGGGAAGTTATTTTCTGGATGACATCAAGTGATGTCAGACTCTGTCAAATTGAGAATAAAATGTGTGCCTAAAAAAAAAAAGTCTCTATTTGAGCTTTTGAGCCCAAGCTAAAGACTAGAGCAAAGAGGTGTATAAATTTTAACTTAAAATACTGGATGTTTGAGACAGCAGTCAGGGCTAGTGCACTGGGGGTTTGAACTGTGAATTTCTGGAAATAAAAGCTTCATTTATTGCACTTTGATGTGCAGTCCTCTGCCTAAGGAGAACTGATTTTAACAGTCACAAACCCTGCACAAAATGGACCAGTCTGGTGGGATTGCTCTGATACTAATGCAAGTTATTCATTATTAGCTTCATTCTTTGACCTTTTTTTGTAAAGGTGAAGCAGTGCTCTATAATAGACATGGCTTGATCTGTGAGATTAATAAACACAGTTCTATTATACTTGCAAAGCTCCGTAAGATCTGTCCATATCCCAAATATTCCAACACAGCACCCCAGCAAGTTACTTAAAATTTGTTTGAATCTCTGGAAACGTTATTGGTTTATCATAGACTTTGTCAAATATTTTTAATAACCTTTGCAGGAAAAATATCCCAATTTAAATATGTAGATACATTCCTATTTTTGTTGTCAGTTTGGTTAACAATTGTCAATCTTGTGTTTATTTTTTTCTGTAAACTTTCCATTGGTCTTTAATTGCTGTTGGACTAGATGATCGCTGTAGGTGCCTTCCAACTGAACTCTTCTATTCTTACTTCTCACATATCAAATGGTGGTTGCTCCTTTTCATTGGTACATTTTCAGTATACTGGAAAAAACATGTGGTATGGGTCAAGTGGCTCAATTCCTCCGAAAAGCAGTTAGGCCAAGCTTGATATTTCTTACATGGCTTGCTGCTTGCCTTCTTTCTTTTCCATTATGCACTGTCTTCTCCTTAATGGTCTTTGAAAAAGTATTTTCGTCTGGAGGAGGAAACAGGGAGGGAGTGTGGGGTTGGTTGGTGTTTTTTTTTTTGTAACTAGTGCATGTTTTAAATCCCTACAACTATTTTGGCTTACATTAGTCATTGAGCAGCTCTGTATTTTAAAGAAGCTTGAAAAGGTTGTGTTATGTTGAGTCTGATGTGTATCTTTCTGATGCCTTGAAATATTTTAGGACTGGAACAGGCCATTTTTGACTGTTAGAATAACCTCTTGTGTAACCCAGACTTTGAAACAACACTCCTAATTTTGTATGTGAATCTCAGAACTTTTACTGATCGTTAAAGATCATGATGGAAGATTGTGCTTAGAACCAAGATGATGTTGGTTTTGTTGACAGTAAGTTTCCAAATCATGCTTTCAAAAGCTCTTATGTTCCTAAATCGCTTTATAATTAACTCTGCATTTAACTTGTGAGGTTTATGGACCGTACTGATTGGAACAATGAGTTCTGAATTCAAGACAAAACATGCTGTTGGTGGGGTGTGCAGCTTTTGCAGGTCACACCTCATTGTTAATAAAAAGAGTGGCTGTGATTTTTTTTTTTTTTCCTGGTTACTTCAGATCTTCACAAGTTGTGTACGATGTATTTATTGTGCAGAAGGCAAGGAAGAGTCCTTCTGATTTTTTTTTAAACTGAGTGAGTGCTGGATGTATCTCTGCATGTGTCCTGTAGTTGAAGTACAGAATGTAGGGCTCTTCCTCTCTAAATTTTTGAGTAGACAAGCAAAGGTGCTGAGACATAACCTAGAAAACCCCTATGATACACTTTTCTACAATAGTGTTGCTGATGTGTGCGCTGTTCTTTTAGGGTTCACAGCAAAAATAGTGTAGGATTGTGCACTAACATAATTCAGTCAACTTGTCTGAATCATTAGAATTACTTAGAGTAAACTAACTTGGGATGTGGCTTCTGTTTTGAAGCTGCAGTTTATTTATAAGCAATGTGTTTTTAGTAATGAGATGCTGACTAGCATTTGTGTCTCTAGAGAAGAAGAGGAACGTCTGAGAAATAAGATCCGAGCAGATCATGAAAAGGCTCTGGAAGAGGCTAAGGAGAAATTGAAGAAATCACGTGATGAGATTCAAGCTGAGATTCAGACAGAAAAGAACAAAGTAGTGCAAGAGTTGAAAAAGAAAGACAGCAAGCCACTGCCCCTTGTTCCTTTACCAAATCTTATAGGGATAAACAGTGGAGAACCATCAGACCCGGATATCCGAGAGAAGAGGAACAAAATTAAAGAGGTAATGATGATGATGATGTGGTCCTACCCATTCTTGTATCTGATAGCAGTTATTTATATGGTGTTTAGTTGCTGTTATTTATATTAAAAAGAAAAGAAAAACAGGACTACAGATCTTTTTAATAAACAGTAAGCTTAAAGTGTACATCAAGTATTAATGAACATCAGCATTATTGCATGTTTTTTCCTGGTGTTGGGGTGTTAATATTTTACTGGATAACAACTTAAAAATGGTTTTAAGGATTGCTTCAACTCAGTGGTGTGGGTTCAAAGTGAGTTTGTCATTAACACATGGAACAGCAACAAGTGCATCTTTAAAGCAGAGGACTTTGTTAGGTTCCATTCAAAGAATGGGATATGTTAGTGTGTCACAAGATATTTTTAAATGTTTATAAAGTGGATTGAAAAGATGGGGGGGGGAAATGACCTGCTGCTAAAATTTGCAAATTATCAAATTATCACATGCTTTTCAAAATAAGTTTTAAAGGGGTCTAAAAAACTAGAAGTTTGTTTAAGTAGATTGCCTCATTTACCTGTAAAACATTCAAACTAAGATGTTGGCTTAGGCTTTTGGTTCTGTGGCAGCTTATGCTATGGGAATTGCTGTTTCTGGTCTTACCCTTTGCACTCCTGGTTGGCTGTGAGATTCATTGCCCTCTTTTGCCCTGGCAATGCCAACTTCCTATGATTATCGCCAGGCATTTTTCTGAGTCTGTACTTCTAATTATTATGGCAGAAACATTGTACAGCCTTCTTTTTCTTTTTCTTTCCTGCAATCTGATTAGTTTTATGCCTAAAAATCGGGTTAGCAGGCAGGAATGGTTCAGGCCAGAGGTAGACAAACACAGGCTCTGTAATTAAAGAACATCCAGGACTACAGCACTTAGTAGTTACATCAGCTAAATCTTCTTTTAAATTGTAATCTGAGTTTAGTTAGCTCATAAAACAAAACAAAAACAAGTCAGTCATACACCTGTCCTCGTAATAGGGAGGAGTTGCAGCTGGAGTATGTTGCCATGCTGTGGGTAGATCACCCAAGTTGGAATTTTACTTTGAATATTAATGATGACTAGATGAAATCCACTCTTATCAAATAATGAACAACTGCTTACGATACATGAGTGATACAGCATGGAGCTGTATCATGATTTGAATCTCAACTAGCAAATCCTTCCCGAGGAGGTGCGCCTATTCTGTTAGCGACCACTGCAGAAGCACTTTTGGCTGAGAAGTTGTGTGTGGAATATTGGACCTCCCTGATCCTGCTTGGTTAGGGCTGCTTCCCAAAGGACAGCACTGAATTGTGGATTTCAAAAGGCTCTACTGTTTTTCAAAACTGTGTCCTCAAACATTTTCAGTGAGAATATACAGAGAATCCTGCCTTTCAAAATGTCTTCTGAAGTGTGAAGATGAACGCTCAATGGTATGGTCATGTAGTTGTCAACACTTCTTAATTTTTAACTACAGTTTACTGTATTACAATTCCTTTGAGTTTGCCACTGATGGATTTAATGGGTAAAATAAAATTGAGTTGACCAAGTAATGTGAAAGTACTGAGCATGGCTAACAATGAAGAACTAGCTGGAAGAAATAATCAACTATAGTTCCTATAGATCAAGCTGGAATTGGAGGGAGGGTTGAAAATTAGCATTTGCATTTCTGAGGTTGTTTAGTCAGAGTGTAGACTATGAGAGGAGATGAAAAACTATAGGTTAATGCAGAACGGCAATTTTCTTGGTGATGTGGATAAGTAGTAAACTTCGGACAATTCTTGCTGATCTAAACCTGAAGGTATAGCAATTTGTGAGTAAGGAATCCAGTGTAGTAGTTTAATAGCTCTGGTGATCCTTAGCTGCAGTTGCCACAAATCTCATGCTGTAAAAGGCTTACTCCTTTTTATGGTGATCAGCCTACATGTGAATCAAACTGACAAGCTGGTTTTTTTTAATTGCATAACTTGTTAATAGCTCCTATTGTGGTTTCTGAAGTGTAGCTTTCCATAGTCAGACCAAAGATTTTATGGGACTACATATTAGATGGGTAAGTACGTCAGTTAGGATAATGATACCTTCGTACTGAACAGTCTTCAACAGTGCGGTCACTGTGTTTGAACAGTCCAGGATCATACTAGCAGGATTGAACGTTCTGTCTTTTGTTGTGCGAATTGCCTTAATTGAGTCAGTCTTGTTAGTACTGGTGGCTATCAGGCAACCTCCAGAATTTTTAAATTCTTTAATGTAGGGCAGTAGATTGTCACTTCTACAGCTAGATGTATGAAGGGGTAGAATACAGGAGTGGAAGGTCTGCTAGTGAGAATGGACAAATGATAAGGCTGAAGAATGCATTGTTGGTGCATTGTCATTTTTGTTTGGCCTTTGTGTCTGCTTCTGGATTTTGGCATCTCCTATGTTGCAATGAATATAATGTGCCTGAGATAAAACATCAACAGTGTCAGATGAATAATATTTTGCCTGAAACCTGTTTTTTGACAGCATCAGATGTATCACAGAAGGCTGCAGCAATTCCAGAGATGCAAAGTGCATTTTGAAATATGCTATGGTAGTTGCTGAGGTCTTCTCTCACTGTTTTTTGAAACTAGTGTAGACTAATACAAATAGTCTACAAAACCTGATCTAGTTGAAGATGTCCCTGCCCACGGCAGGGGGGTTGGACTACATGGCCTTTAAAGGTCCCTTCCAACCCAAACTATTCTATGATTCTTTGTAGATGAGAGAGAGACTTAGCAAAAAAACCCCTAAATTCTAGGAGACAATGTCTCTAACATAGATCTACACCTCGCTTATGTAGCATTTCTGACATGCAAGACATTATGGTTGCCTGGATTGAGACCAAAAAAATAGCACAGGGAAGCTCCTAGCTCTTTGGAGGCTGCATATCCGGCTTTAGAATTCCATGTGGTCCTGAGAAGGCATTTGGTTAATGCCTTGGTGTACTTTGAAGGGTCCTGATGCATATTTGAGGCACTTCACTCTCTCGGAACAGCTTTAGACTGCTTAAATTCACAAAACGAGTGAATTTATACAGCCGATTTTGCCTGGTATCAAATGGTGAGAAACTGTGTAGAATTGGGCTACATGTTGTAGCATGCACATGGCTCTTGACAATTGGGAGAAAGACTGGAAAACTTTCAAATGGGGATCTCGTTTCTATCATTTTTACAGAAAACTTATTACTACTTTTTCTTTCTAAAGAACAACTTGGTGAAGTCTTTTTTAACAGATCTTTGTACAAAAAGTGGTTTTGCAGTGCTTAAATATCTTAAAAATACATATTTTGATTTAAAAAAAAAATCTGAGCACAGTGAGAGAGGCTTCTTAAGGTCATGGAATAAACCAGGAGCAGAATCTGCATCTCTTGGTTTTGTTTTTGTCTTTGGTTCTGGTATTTATATTTAGTGTTACAGTGTATTCTCAATTGTAACTAATTCACAGAATTGTATAATTCATCTGTATTATTCTAAAAAGCTATTAATTCAGTTATTTCAATAAGGACTGTTTATGAGTTGGCTGATTATTTTAGATGCACAGTAACAAATTTAAAAGTTTTCTACCTGCTTATCTTACATGCTTTGTAGCACTTCTCTAGAATATTAGCTTGTTTATCTGTTTTTTAAAAAATGCTATAGTTTTTAATTAACTAGTGTTTTAAGAATAAACACATCTGAAAATTATTCTTGCTGCTACACTTTAGCTTTGTATTAATATTTTAGTGATTTTTTTCATACTAAGTAAAAGATGAGAAAATGGTTTTATAAGAAGGTAGATGTAATTTGTATAATTTTCCAAAAAGATTTTAAGATGTGTCTTTTTATTGTGGTTAATGCAAAGAAATTAAGAACAAAAACTCATCTTTTGGAAGTCATTGGCTTTCTTTCCAAGTTAAACTAGGTATAAATTGCATGAGCACTAGGAATTTTTGGCACTTGATTTCCATTATTATGTCCTTTAAATAGTGTTCAGAATACTAATTTTTTTCTGCAGCTTAAGTGTAATCATTACAGATAGTGCTTTTCTTTATTTAAATGAGTTTTGTTTCCTTGAGGAGTTAAATTTTACCCAGTCAAATAAGGAAAACTTTCTTATTCTTTTCACCCTACTCAGGGTTCAGGTTTTCTTTCATTTAAGCCTAAGATTTCACAGTATTGCCTTACCTCCAGCTTTCATTTCAGATACTCATTAAAACAGAGTATTTAATAGTACTTAGTACTATAGTAATTACTGCAATAATAGTACTAATCCCATGCAGCATATTTTTTTTATATACACCTTGTTCTAAACATTTAAATGTTTATTTTGAGGTCTTGGATTGTTAAAGTCCAGAGGTCTGAGAAGCATTGAGATTATGGATGTATAAGTTTTACATACAAGTCAGTAAGTGTTGTATTACATAGAGTATGGTTTTTGCGTTTGTACTGACTACAGAGTTCTGGGGGCGATTGCCAGCGACCTGGGGGCCTGGGTAGTGATCTCATTGATCCTGCCAGTAAGGGGAGAGGGTGTGAGGAGGAGGGTACTGGCAATGCACATCAGCAGTTGGTTGTGGAGCTTGTGTTGGCAGCAGGGTTTTGGGTTCTACAACCATGGGACCCTGTTTGCAGGGTCTGCCTGGGAGAGATGGGATCCACCTCACTAAGGTAGGACAAAGGCATCTTTGCCAGCAGGATGGCTGACCTCCTAAGGAGGGCTTTGAACTAGGAATGATGGGGGATGGAGAGACTAACCAGCAGCCCTGTGAGGGAGTGACTGACAGGGTGGACGAGCAAAAGGCCTGCGGTGATGTGACAGAAAGGGATCACAAAATCAGGAAAACAGGGCTTAAGCAGGGTCACCTCTAGCATTTGCATATAAGCAAGGAAGTGCCTACAAGGCACCGTTATGGAGAAATCCCTAAAACCCTTTCTGGGAAATCAGCATGCTAGGGTACCTCTCTGAAGTGCACGTACAATAATGCATGCGGCATGGGGACTAAACATGATGAGTC